GTTTTCTGCCCCCTCTCTCAATCTCTGCTTTCTCTCTGTTTCACTGTCAGTCTCTGCCCTCTCTGTCACCATCTATCTCTCAATTTCTGCCCTCTCTCTTCCTGTCTGTCTCTCAATCTCTGCCTGCTGTTTCTCTCTCTCTCTCTGTCGCTCACTCACTCTCCGTCTCTCTCTCAATCTCCATCCTCTCTCTCTCTCTCACTCAATCTCTGTCCCCCTCTCTCTCCCATCTCTCACTCAATCTTTGTCCACTCTCCCTTGTTCTCTCTCCGACTCACTCGATCTCTGCACTCTGTCTCACACTCAGTCTCTGCCCTCTCACTAACATTCTTCCCTCTATCTCGTCCTCTGTCTCTCTCTTGTAATCTCTGCCCCTCTCACTCTCAAGCCCTGACCACTCTATGTCCCACTTTCACGCTCTACCTCCCCCACACACTCTCTCTGTCTCTCACTCTCCGTGTCTCTCTCTCTCTCTCGCTGTGTCTCCTGTATCACTCTCAAACCCTACCCAGTCTCTCGCTCTGCCCCACTTTCACCCCCGTCCTCTCATCACACCCACCCATCCACACTTGCTCTCCATCTCACTTTCAGCCTCTTCCCCATCTCAGTCTCACTCTCAAGCCCTTCTTGCTGTTGCGTTCTGCCCCTGCTCTCGCTCTCCTTCCCTCTCTGTCTCACTTTAACCCCGTCCTGTCTCTCTCAGTCTCCATTCCACTGCCATCTTCTACCTCCAATATATTTATTTTATTTAAAAACAGTAGGAAAATAACTGGACCCAGCAATATCACTACAGCGGCTACAAGAGCAGGTTAGAGGCTGGGAATCCTGCAGCGAGTAACTCCCCTCCTGACTCTCCCCCCAAAGCCAGTCCCACCATCGACAAGGCACAGATTAATTGATACTCTAACTCCCACTTTCAACACCCCCTCCCTCCACCAACAATGCACAGCGATAGTTGGGCTCATTAGGAATGCTTGGCTGAGCTCCAAGGCTGACGCACAGTGGCAGTGTGTACCAGCTACAAGATGCACTGCAGCGACTCGCCGGAGGCTCCTCCTATAGCACCTTCTGAACCTGCCACCTCTACTACCGCCCACCTCCCCCTCCCCCAGGACGACGAGGGACAGTGGACACGGACACTTGCCCCCTGCAAGTTCCACGCTCACTACACCATCCTGACTTGGAATGATATCGGCCATTTCTTCAGGGTCAGAATCCTGGAACTCCCTCAAGGCGCACTGTGTGAGGGGGGGGTGAAACGAGAGAACTGCAGCAGTTCAAGGAGGCACCTTCTTGGGTAGGGGGGCAATTAGGGACAAGGCAAACATGCCGGGCCAAGCCGTGAATGGGTAGGCAAAATAATGGCGACGGGGAACGCAACGGGAGAGAATGCGAGATCTGGTACTGTTGGAGGTGGGCGCACAAGTGAAGGAATTATATATTTAAGGACGCCTGATGCTTTTATATAAATAAAGATAGAATGTAAAACCCTGCCGTATCAAACGCGGCTCCTGCACTGTGTACAAATCTGTCCCCTCCTTTCATGAGGGCAAGGTGGGAGAATTACTGGAATGGCGTCGGGGAAAGCTGGGATTGTCTCCTCGGAGAGTAGTTCTTGTGGGTGGTGGGGGAAGGTGAGAGGGATTGAACAGGGAGGGTTTTCAATTGTCGGGAGGGGAAACGGGCATCGGGGATTGGGGGGTGTGGGAGGGGAGTGGTGGGGAGAGTGCATCCGAGTTAGTTAAAGCAGCTCGGAAGATTTTGAGTCAGAAAGAGAGAGTGGACGAATGAATCCTGGAAATGTGGCATTTCCCGGAGAATGAGACGAATCTGCTACCTGGGAGCCCGGGAGCTTTGGCAGGGAAGAACAACGGAGCGATATCTGCACACCCAAACTGAACTGACTGACCAGCCTCTGCGCCTAGAGAGGGAACGGAGCACAGAGTGTGAGCGGGGTTCCACCGAACCCTGCGGAGGATCCCAGGACCGTGTGAAGCAGGATGAGGTCGAATAGCCCAGCCCTTGCCCTCGTTCGAAGGCTGGAAGCAGCGAGGGGAGGCAAGCTGACTGATTTGCCCCGACTGTATTCCATACCCCTATCCTGCCACCCCACCAAACCAGATGCCTTTTAGATGTTGTCATTGTACCAGCCCCCACCGCTTCCTCTGGCAGCTCGTTCCATATACGCACCACCCTCTGCATGAAAAAGTTGCCCCTCAGGTCACTTTCCCTCTCTCACCTTAAACCTATGCCCCTCTAGTTTTGGACTCCCCTGCCCTGACGGGAAAAAGACCTTGGCTATTCACCCTACCCATCCATGCCCCTCATGATTTTATTAACCTCTATAAGGTCACCCCCTCAGCCTCCGACTCTCCAGGGAAAATAGCCCCAGCCTCTCCCTGTAGCTCAAACCCTCCAACCTGGCAACATCCTTGTAAATCTTCTCTGCACCCTTTCAAGGTTCACAACATCCTTCCCACAGCTGGGAGGCCAGAACTGAACTAAAAGTGGCCTCACCAATGTCCTGTACAGCCGCAACATGACCTCCCAGCTCATTGCACTGACCAATGAAGGCAAGCATATCGAACACCTTCTTCACCGCCCTGTCTACCTGCGACTCCACTTTCAAGGAACTATTTACCTGCCCCCCAAGGTCTCTTTGTTCAGCAACACTCACCAGGACCTTACCATGAAGTGTATAAGTCCTGCCCTGGTTTGCTTTTCCCAAAATGCGGCATTTATCTAAATTAAACTCCTTGGCCCATCTGATCCAGGTCCCGTTGTACTCTGAGGTAACCTTCTTCGTTGCCCACTACACTCCCAATTTTGGTGTCATCTACAAACTTACTAACCATCCCTCCTTATATTCACATCCAAACCGTTTAGATAAATAACATATGTCATGGTATCCTTATTGAAGGAAGGATATGTGAAGCATTGGGGGAGGTTCATGAGATTGATACCTGGAATGGGTTGTTTCAGAGTTTAGAAATTACTGTAGAAAGGATGTTATTAAACTAGAAAGGATATTATTAAACTAGAAAGAGGGCAGAAAAGATTTCCTAGGATATTCCCTGGGCTGGAAGGTTTGAGTTATAAGGAGAGGATGGATGGGCTGGGACTTTTCACCCTGGAGCATAAGAGACTGAGGGGTGACCTGAGAATGTCAATAAAATCACGAGAGGGACAGCCAACAGCTTTTTGTCAGGTTTAGGGGAGTCTAAATCTAGATGGCATAGGTTTAAGGGGAGAGATACAAAAGGGTCCAGGAGGGCAATTGTTTTAACACAGAGGTAGTGGTAGAGGCTTAGAACGTTAGTTAGGCCACACTTGGAATATTGCATACAATTCTGGTCACCGCAACTACCAGAGGGATGTGGATGCTTTGGAGAGGGTACAGAAAAGGTTTACCAGGATGTTGCCCGGTGTGAAGAAAGGTTGGACAGACTGGGTTTGTTTTCGCTGCCGCGCAAGAGGTCGAGGGGGCGACCCTGAAAGAAGTTTATAAGATTGTGAGTGGCGTGGATAGAGACTTTCTTCCCCGGAGGGGTCAATTACTAGGGGACGCGGGGTGAAGGTGCAGCAGGGAAGGATGTGCGAGGCATGTTTTTCACACAAAGGGTGGTGCGTGCCTGGAAGGCGCTGCCAGAGGAGATGGTGGAAGCAGACACCGTAATAACAAGTGACCAGATGAATAGGAAGGGAATAGGGGGACACCGATCCTGTCAGTGAAGGCCGTTTTAGTGCAGAAGGGCAAAATGAATCGGCGCATGTTTGGGGAGCTGGAGGGGGGGGCCTGGTTAATTGAAGAAAACATCGGGAAAAGGTACACGGACGGGATCGATACGGGGGGGGGGGGGAGGGGATGTGGACCAACATGGGCAGACGGGACTGTTTCAGTGTGAAAACTGAGCAGCGCAGCCAAGTTGGGCTGTAGATCTCTTTGACCGTGACTCGATTGAAGTCTCAAAGTCAAGATGGACATGGTTGGGGGGGG